AATTCACGTGAGTAGATAAATAGGTACTCTCACTCCGGTGGGAGGAAAAATGCTGGCGGCGCTTGCACGGGAGTCGGGAGCAGTTGCCGGTAAGTGCGAAACCGCGCTCGCCCAAAAAGGTCACAAAGCAACGGAAACCCCGCCTCCTGCGCTCGCCCGCTGGGCTCTGCTCTAGGAAGGAGGCTCTGGCAAACCACTTCCGAAACAATTGCCTTGAAAACTGCAAGGACTCGTCCGAACAGTCACTGCAGGGTCAGTAATGACTGAGCGCAGACAAAAAAAAATAAAAAATTAAAAACTAGCTATCTATACTTTCCAAAATTATTTAGTCTATGCATTGAAACACAAATGATTAAATTGGCATCTTTTATTATTTTTGTTATTATTTTACAGAAATGAGAAAATTAAATACTGTAAACCTGGGCAAGTTGAGATCCACTTTCCAGTGGCAGAAACTGGAGTCTTAGGGATACTTCTGCCAGCAGAACATAAATTTTGAATGAAGCCACTAACATTATTCTAAAATTTTGCTTGGTATCATCTGGAAAATAAATTCTTACCCAGTTCCCAAAGAGTGTCCCCATATATAAACTGGATTGTCTCCACTTCTCGCTTTTATCCAGTCAAATACATGAAGAGCATCATAGGTCATCCCACTTTCTGAGGGAGTGCCTGTAGAGTCTCCCCATCCTGAAAGAGATAAAAATAAATATTCCAGGAATCATGTTTTAAGCTGGTAATCAAAATATAGGGTTTGGTTTCATGTTTCAGTTAAGACCAAAGAGCACAATGAGTCAGGACAGTGGAAATGAATAGGTGAGTTCTTAATTACCTTTCATTTACTTGGACTTGGCTAAAATACACTATAAATTGAAATGGAATTGACTTAATGCCAGAACTAAAGTTGTACCAGCTGGATTCCAGTATGGCTTGAAATTTTCAACTAGATTTTTCCCACTGATAAAATTGTTTTCGCTAATGGAACTAAGTGGGGCAAGTTCTTCCACACCATCTCAGAACTACAGCAAAAACTTCCCGAGAGGTTTCCCCAACATCTCCAAACAGATTTTAAGGATTACTGGCAGAGGGGGCATAATACAGGAGAAATTCTTTGCACTTAAAAAACTAGCATATGAAAATATAAACTGAGTTATCTGCCAGCTATGCTGGCTCTAGTTCCATTGGAACTAAAGCATCTTAGAATTTTGTGTTAGGACTACAACTCCTATAATTCTTAGCATGCCCCTCCCCCCCCCCCCAGCTAAGAATGCTGAATAGGAATTGTGGGAGTTGCCATCTCAACACATCCAAAGGGTGCCAGGATGGGGAAAGCCACACTAAAAGATGACCTTCAATTGCAGCAGAATTCTTGGAAATATCTGCTTTACGGTACTTTGAGTTTGAATATGAGGAATGGAGCTGACTTACAAGCTGAACTAAAATACAAAACCTTATTTGTGAAAACCACAAAGCTAATTGAAGATATAATAACATTTCTTTTAAAAAAATTAAATACTGCTCAGGAAAATTGCACAAAATAAGCAGACCGTTATGCCCCTCTATGCTCTGGTTCTTCCTGGCAGAGAAATATTCTCCATTAAACTGACGAACCAAAAGCCCTGTTTTAGGAACCAAACTCTTTCTATAAGACTCTTTCAAGTTCAAGCCTGCAGACTTTTAGGAAATCTAAGATTATCTCCTGTTTTAAGCAGTGATGAGGTTCACTTGTTAGCAGATTGAGTAAATGTGGCTTTTATCCATACAACATTTGAGAAAGACAAGATATACTGCATGAAGATCTGTAATGCAACTGGAAATTGTTGAAATATATATATTTACAAGTGTCTATTATATTGTTTAGCTTACAAGACACAGCTGAAGTCGTTCAAGCAAAGTTGTTATACATTAATGGGAAGATCAATCTATAGAAGTATAGAATATTCTAAAAGTATTTAGTCAAAATGCATGAGAGAAACTAACTTTTTTTTAAGGGCTGGCACAGGACTCACTGCCTACTAAGTAGTTTGAATAACTACTTGAAAACAGCAAAAAAATTTCATTCTGAACTGTTTTCAGCATGAAACTTTGCAAAACTCCATGAAATATCCTTTTGAGTGTGAAACTGCTGCTGTGATATTAAATGGGCTGTTTCAACCATTCTGGAGTGTTTTGAGCTGGGAGCAGAATTAATCTGAGTTCAAAACATTGTTTTGGGATCAGGATTTCCTGTTTCACATTCAAAACAGCAGCTTCAAAATGGGCTGTTACGTATAGTTTTTCATTTGAGATCCAACATTTTGCATACTTACTGTTGACTAAACTAAACAATTCTATAAACATTCTGTAATTCATTTATAATTTATTTGTAATTCATTTATAAAAATGGAGAATTGCTGACTATTAACAGAACATGCACCATAATCTTTGGGATTAATAAGGTCCCCCCCATCAAATTATGTGGTTAATGAAATTCAAGAAACAGCCAGTAGGTTATTTGCTTAAAACAAAACAGCCAACCTTATCTGGGAACAAAAGGACATTTCAGGATAAACATATCGCCTAAGAATCTTACCTCGATAATCAAATGTGACCACATGATAACCAAGAGAGCTTAAAACCTATAAGAAAAAATAAGCAACTCCAAATAAGTTTAAGAAACACTTTTAAAATAATACATCACTATATGTTAACACACTCCTTCACTTTGGAGGAATACACAATTTTCTATGTACAAGGTTCTCATTTTTAATGGAGAGTGGGGATCATTCAAAGATGCAATCCTTCACTGCAGTGTGGAATGGAACAGGCCATAAAAGGTTTATCACTGACAGAATACTGTTCAGTAAAACACAATTTTGGGTATCTTCTTCTTATACCTCTAACACTTATTTATGTTTTCCCACATCATAAATTATAGAAAACAAATACATGTTGGTTTTAATAGCACTGCATAACAGCATTCAGACCATATGAGCAACAACATTGCAATTCCTACCTTGTAAAGTTCCACACGATGATCCCCTCCTCTGTTAAGAAACATTGTGAAAGTTAAAATCAAGGCAAAACATTATGTTAATTTTCTAGTGTCAGTATAAAAATGGGCTGGCTTTTAATGAAAAACATACTCATTAGATGTAATTCAGTTTAAATAGCACATCTAAGAGCTACTGATTTCAATAAATACTAACTTAAGACTGCAATCTTAGCTACTTGCCTGGGGAGAAGCATCGTTAAATGCAATTTACAAGATAATTCTATACATGCCTATTCAGAAATCAGCCACTTCCTCTGAAATCAAAATTTGAACTGCAGACATTGAACTAAATTATGTCCAACTGTAATTAAAGTACTTCACTGATATAAATTTAACATTGCCCATCGAACTCCCTCCCTCTGCCAGAGTCAAAACAACAACCAATTTTTAAGAGGGAAACATTTTCCCATCTATAAAATTACGTTTTGAATACTTGCACAGATTAGAGGATTTGGAACAAAGAAACCAAGCTGAAAAAATGTTGCTCTCTTCACCAGCTTGCCTGTGTCCTAAAATTTCCCACCAAATATCTTCCAAGGGACTTCCTTACTAGTAACCAATATTTAATCACAAAGAAGACGGGTTTCTCAGTTTTGCAATGGCTTTCTTATGAATGGTTCGTTCGTTCATTCATTCATTCATTCATTCATTCATTCATTCATTCATTCATTCATTCATTCATTCATTCAATGTATATAGCCAGACACATCTTGACAATGACTCTGGCACTGAATTTATAGTCTCTTTGCCATTAAGTTAAAATATCTTTTTAGTCACATCTTTCAATTTACATTATCTCTTAGTCTTCATACAGCACCATTAAAAGATCTACAGTACAACAACATGATGAAAACCTAATGACTTAAAAAATAAACAAAACAAAACAAAAAACAAGCAACACTCTCCAAAGGCCCTTCAGGACAGCCCCAATTTCAAATGCTTCTGAAAGGCTACCAAGTTTGGAGCTAACCTGATCTCTGATGGCGGGCAGTCCTAAAGATAATGCTGTGCCATAAAAGGCTTTATGTGCTAAAACCTGCAGTGGGAGCAAGGACAATGTCCTCTCACTCCAGGCAGGGCTGCTATTGGAATTCTGATGTTAATTGCACTAGGTTTTAAATGTATTATATCCACTTACAGTGGGGAAAAAAAGTATTTAGTCAGCCACCAATTGTGCAAGTTCTCCCACTTAAAAAGATGAGAGAGGCCTGTAATTTTCATCATAGGTATACCTCAACTATGAGAGACAAAATGGGAAACAACGAGTTGAGTTTAGACCAAAACGTTCTACTTTGGTTTCATCTGACCATATGACATTCTCCCAATCCTCTTCTGGATCATCCAAATGCTCTCTAACAACGAGTTGAGTTTAGACCAAAACGTTCTACTTTGGTTTCATCTGACCATATGACATTCTCCCAATCCTCTTCTGGATCATCCAAATGCTCTCTAACAACGAGTTGAGTTTAGACCAAAACGTTCTACTTTGGTTTCATCTGACCATATGACATTCTCCCAATCCTCTTCTGGATCATCCAAATGCTCTCTAACAACGAGTTGAGTTTAGACCAAAACGTTCTACTTTGGTTTCATCTGACCATATGACATTCTCCCAATCCTCTTCTGGATCATCCAAATGCTCTCTACCATCAGTAACACACTATGCTGCCAGGGACTCAAATCCTGCAGTGCCAGATGTGTCCCCCTGCTTAAGCCAGTACATGTCCGGGCCCATCTGAAGTTTGCTAGAGAGCATTTGGATGATCCAGAAGAGGATTGGGAGAATGTCATATGGTCAGATGAAACCAAAGTAGAACGTTTTGGTCTAAACTCAACTCGTTGTGTCCCATTTTGTCTCTCATAGTTGAGGTATACCTATGATGAAAATTACAGGCCTCTCTCATCTTTTTAAGTGGGAGAACCTGCACAATTGGTGGCTGACTAAATACTTTTTTGCCCCACTGTAAACTGTGGTACAATACCATGGAATCTGTGATGGAATGGAATTATGAAGGCCAAACTCAGGGAGGGAAACATGCTCTTTCGTCTCCTGAGGGGCG